GGTACCTTCTCTGAGGAGCTCCTGACAGGGGAGTTGGGGGATTGTTCTGAGGAAGGTCAAAGGCATCTGGCAGGTTCTGAGAGCCTTTGGGGTGTATAGGAGGTGTCATTGAGAGATGAAGGAAGCCCCTGGGGAGGTGGGTGTGCAGGGCCTGGGCATTTGGGAGCAGTTGCCTTTGGGAGAGCCCCTTGCTCCTTTCCTGCCCGCCTCTAGGGCAGGTGTGTCAGGCTTCCGCTTCTTGGGTGTGGGGTGAAGGGCGGCAGGTGAAAGGATGACATCAGCCTCCTCCGCCCCTGGGCCCTGCCTGTTTGAGGCAAAATGTTTTCTGGGGCATCTCCAGAGCTGGCTCGCACGGAGGGCTGTCAGTGGGTGCCCCTTTCCCTCTCCGGCCTTCTCCTCAGCCTGCTGGCCAAGGAGGGAGAGCCAGAGAGAATGTTGCTGGGTCCTGGGGGTTCCCCAGGACCAGAAAAGGAGAGGTTCTCCAGAAGGTTCTGGGTGAATGCCTCTCTGTAGGACCATCATTTCTGAAATTGGCAGAGGGGTGGGCGGGGGTTGGGGGTGGGGGTTGGGGGGGTCCTTTTGCCTCAGTGACCAGAGGCCTGAGGGCAGAACATGGGGGCTAATTGTGAGTTTTGTCATTTTTTTTTTCTGTTGGAGGCAGGGGAGTGGGTTAGGCTGGGGGCATGGTTCTGAAGCCTAGAGAGGAGGAGAAGATGTGGGACTTGACCCCAGTCAGCAGTGCTGGGAATCCTAGGGGCCTGCTGCAGCCTGCCTCCCCACCTGCCGAAGGTCTTCAGCGGGTGGAGTTGATAACCTGGAGAGTTGTGGGTGGAGGAAGGGTGTGGATTGTGTTTAAATTTAGAGAAAGTTAAAAAAAAAAAAAAAAAAGAAAAAAAATGGCACAAATCTCCATTCCTCTCCTGCCTCTGCCTCTCCCTCCCCAAAATGTATGTCTGAGCCACTTCTTGGGTTCATCAAAAAGAAAGGCTTAAGGGACCTTCACAGGCGTGGGACTGGAGGTAATTTTTCCAGATGACTGATTCATTGATTGATGATTGGACTGACTCATGTTGAGAGGGAAGAGGTCACGGCTGGGGGACATTCCGAAGAACTGGGGCCTGGGTGTGGTGGGAGGGGGTGGGGGTGGACACCTGGCTTGGGGGTTCGGCGGCTCTCTGACTGTCACCTCCTTCTCTAGGCTCCTACTTCCCCAGCAGACTGTGTCTTCCAGATGAATTTGGAGACCTGGGTTCTAATCTTGGTTTTGAGGTGAATCTGAACAATTTAGGATGCTACTCAGGGAAGAGGTAGGAAGGAAGGGTTTGCCTCTGCTCAGGGGCAGGTGGGCAGTCCCCTGCCATCTCGTTGGGAGTCCAAACCACACACACAGTACTGGTTGGGATCAGGCTTTTAGGACCAGACTGCACTCAGGCTCTACTAACAGTGCCTCCGCCCTGCTCCCCCGGACTCTGCCTGGTTTGCTCTCACCGCCCCACATGCTTGTCTTCCGCCCGTTTTGGGTCTTTAAGTTCTATTCCAGCAAGCTTCCTGCTCCTGAGAGCATCATGATCCTGGGGCTCCTGGTCCCTGCAGAGCCGCTCTCCTGTGAGGAATTACAGTGCGATCCCGGTGACCTCAAGCTTTCCCCCCTCTGTGACCTGCTATCCTTTGACTTGGAATCTGTATTCCACATTGTTCCAAGTGGAGGGTAAGGGCCAGAGGTCACATAGTAAGTAGCCTGTCTAGAAATAGCTAGAAATAGCCGGAAGGAATCTTAACTCTCATTCCTTTACCTCCATGGCCTTTGTTAAATATTGCATTAAAACAGGTCTTTATAAGCCCCCTGCAGCTTATGCTGAGGCAAAGCCAACCCATTCAGGTCTGTGACTAATTGTGGCCCAGCCTTGTGTGTAATCCATTAGGGAGGCAGCAGCCGGGGCAGGGGGATGTGAACACTGGAGCCTGTGTGCCTGAGTTCAAATCCAGGCGCTACCATATGCTACCTCTGTGGCCTCAAGTTCTAGGTCTGTAAAAGAGGGATAATGGTGCCGACCTTGTAGAGTCAAGGTCGTTAGGAGGTGCAGATGGCTTGTTGTGTCCGCAGCACTTAGAACACTCCAGCTTCAGCTCCTCGGCCCCAGGGGCCTCCTGGGCGCGGGCATGACTTTGAGAATGGGAGCTTGGTTTGCAGGCAGATGACTCCATTCAACCAGAGGAAATTTCTCCAAGGAGAAAAGATGCTTTCGTTTCTGTGTTCATATAGCAATGGGGTCCCCAAAGAGTGACCCTTAGAAGCCACCCCTTAGAGATTAGTCTCCCTGAGAGAGGGTGTGTGTGGGGGAGAGGGGGGCTGTGGCTAATCTTCTACTTTAAAACTGACCTGGCCGGATGTGAAATCCATTAGGGACCTGGGCCTTTGCCATTTAACATCCCCTTAGGGGCTGACTGACCCCAGGTTTGATCTGGGAAAGGCCTTAGGCCATGAGTTTCTGCCCCATTGTTCCAGCTGCTACTGACAGCGGGGAGTTGGGGCCAGTGCCTGACAGTGCAGCAGGCTATGAAAGGACACCAGAGTCCCACAGGACTGGGGGTTAAGGGCTTGGGGCGGAGTTTGGATCTGTGTCTTTCTTTGTGCTGAAATGACAGTGTTACCCTGCGGGCTGGTTCTGTAGAAAGGCCTAGTTGGTTAATTTTAAAGGCTCTTTTGAGGAGGGAGGAAAAGGAGCAATGTTGCATTTCCCAGGGGGCTTTCCTCTGAGATGCTCAGAGTTTCACCAAGATGAGCTTGTTAATTAATCTGCCTTTGTTGCGCCTGGAAGGGAAGGGGAAGGCTGGAATGGCCTCAGCGCTACCACTGTGTCCTTATCTGCACAATGAGAGGCTCCTGTAGATGGATGAGGAGGTGACAGCCCTCTCTCTGCCCAGGCTGAGACCTAAAGTGGCAAAGTGCTGTGCTGGAGAGGGTCCTTGCTGGGCTCTTGACTTTTGGCTCAGGTGAAGCATGGTTTGTTCACCATCATCCGTTTGTCAGATCACCTCTAAGGCCGCTGAGCTTAGGTCCCTTTCTGGGGCAGGGCATCTTACACTAGTCACAGTCACACGGGGAGTGTAGGGGTAATCCTGGGGCACTGTAGGAGTAGGTAGAAGGGGGCTCCAGGTTTGTATTCTGGGGAGGTTTTTAGAAAGGGGCTTCTAATCTGAAACATGAAGATTGGGTATAAGTGACACATGTTGCGGGGAGGTATGACTTGGGGTAGACAGGGAGATAATCATGACCAGGCAAAGAGGACATTTGCAAACGCCGGAGCTCAGGGGTACTTGTTCCAGGTTAGGCCAGAGGCACAGAAAAGCAGGGGGAAATTCAAGGCTGCCAGACTGAGGCCACCTTCTAGATCCTCAAAGCTGTGAAGAGTTCTAGGCTCCGGTCTAGTGATTTCTGAGCCCTAGAGCTAGAGGTGAAGACTTTGGGTCAGTGGTAGTGACCGTGATGTTCTAGAACTTTGTTCCTGTGGGAATAGCAATGAAATACCCTTTCTGGAAAGTGGTGCTGGTGAATTGCAGTCTTCTGGAGTTGGGTGGAATGTTCATCCCTTTCCCAGAGGCCGCAGCCTCTCCCGGACTTACTGCTCCAGGTTGGCCTGCCTGTGAACAGCACCACCTGCTCAGGGAGTAAAGTCCACCCGGGGCTGTGTTTGCCTTCCCCGAGCAGTTTCCTGCTTGCTGGCTTTCTGAGGAGCTGTGCTAAAGGGAATTTAGGGAGGCTCATGGGTGGCTCAGCCCTGGGGCATTTCCGGTCCCGGGTTGAGTCAGGGCCTACACCAGGTGCTGGGGGTTGGGGAGCCTTTGTACTGTCTCTGCCTTCCTTCCCTGTCAGGATCCAGAAGGTTTCAGGTTCAGGGTGAAGTCGCCGGTGCTCCAGACACGTAATCCCAAGGAGAATCTTACCCTCTGGCATGTGTGTTGTCTTAGATTGTAAGAGCAAAATTCTTTTTTTTTTTTTTTTTTAAATTTTTTATTAAATTTAAAAAAAAATGTTTATTCATTCTTGAGAGAGAGACAGACAGACAGACACAGAGCATGAGCAGAGGAGGAGCAGAGAGAGAGAGAGAGAGAGAGGGAGGGAGGGAGGGAGGCACAGAATCCGAAGCAGGCTCCAGGCTCTGAGCTGTCAGCACAGAGCCCAACGCGGGGCTCAAACTCACAAACTATGAGATCATGGCCTGAGCTGAAGTCAGACGCTTAACCGACTGAGCCACCCAGGTGCCCCACTAAGAGCAAGATCTTCACCTGTCCTTGCTGGCGACCCCAGCACAGGCCCCGACAAGTGGGCGCTTAGGAAGTGCTTTTTGACAGCCGCTATTTATTATCAGATAGTTTATGGAGCCCTTGCCCCGTGCCAGGCACCGCAGTCAGACCTGTACGTGCAGCAGGTCGCCGCATCCTCGCTGATGCAACCCACGGGTGGGTGCTGAGATGCTGAGGTTCCGAGAGGCTGGGAGCTTTGTCAGGGCAGAGGAACCGGGCTTGGGGTCCTGTCAGAAGGCACCCTGACTGCTGCTGTGGTGGGAGATGTCCTCCCTGCTTTCCTGGGGCTCAGGTTTCTGAGCCCTTTATTGTCCTTGGATGTGGTCTGCCCCCCTCACCCTGGGAAAGCCTGGCACGAGGAAGGCATGCTACTTGGGCCTCCTTGTGCCTGCTGGTGGGCTCTGAGGGCAGGGACCCCCTCCACATTCACAGCTGTGGTTTTGAACACTGGTGGAATGCATAGACATAACATTTCCATTTGAGCCATTTTTAAGTGTGTGGTGTTTCAGCAGCATAAAGTGCGTTCCCAGTGTTGCTCATCTGTCACCACCGTGATCCCCAGGACTTTGATTACCTCGCAGAATGGAAACTCCGGACCCTTTAAATACTCACTCCCCATTCCCTCCTCCCCCAGCAGCCACGCTTTCTGTTTCTGGGAAGGTCCCGAGATTGAATTCTTTGTCTGTCCTGCCCAGAATCTCCCCGGAGTGCCCTCGCCAGGCAGCGATGCCAGCATGCCTGTGTCTGCTTCCCTCCGCCAAGACGGCAGCCAGGGGCGGCCGGTGAGCCTCACCTCCACCACATCCTCGTCGGGTTCGTCCCGTGACAGCCGCGGTGCCATGGAGGAGCCCAGCGTCTCTGAGGCCTCGGCTGAGAACGGGGCAGGCTCCCCCCGTGGCCGGCACCCCCCCAACGGCAACCCCAACTCCAGCGGCTGGCAGAGCGTGAGGGGGCCCCTGTCCCCGTTTGGCAGCCGGGCCGCAGCAGCCCCGGCGCACAAGCTCAGCTACCTGGGCCGAGTGGTGCGGGAAATCGTGGAGACGGAGCGGATGTACGTGCAGGACCTGCGCAGCATCGTGGAGGTGAGGGCTGCCACCCGAGGGGCTGAGTTGGGAGGGGGGCCGGCCTCTGGCACCTGGTGGCCCACCCTCTTGTAAACCTGCGTCCACCCATGGAAGGGAACTTCTCCCTGACAGTTTGTTCCAGAAGACCTGCTTCCCATGGAGTGGTAGGAGGTCTCAGGTGTCCTGCCCTGGGGAGCTCTGACTGCTCCCACTGCCTTACAACTTTGGGTCACATCAGTGGCCGGCCCACAGAACCTCCCGCAGGCCCTTAGGGGGCAGGCACGGTTGGTGGGGAGGGGCGGGGACTGCTGTGCTCATGGACCCTGAGCACCGTGAGGACATTAGCCTGGACGTTGCTTGCCTGTGCCCAGATCCCTGCTCTGTCCTTGCCTGGCTGTGGGGTCTCAGGCACCTGCGTCTGCCCCTGAGCCTCAGGTCCCTCACCTGAGACATGAAGACACACCCACCTCGCAGGGCCATGTTGGTGAAGCGTTTCACACTGTGGACACACGGGAAAGTGGCCACGTGGCTGCCGCTGAGAAAGCCGTCTGCTCGCTGTGGAGGGAGCTGTGTGTTTGGGGTGTGTTAGGGCTGCCGTAATTGTGTGGGTAAAATGCAGACGTGTAGTCTGTCTTGGTTTAGGAGGCAGAGTGCCTTCCGTGCCCATCTCCCGGCCTCTGCCAGGTGGTCGCTGCCAGCCTGTTGATGTATTATCCTCACCTCTGCCTCCACCTTCCTCTCGCCACCTTCTCCATGTCGTTTCTTCTTCTTCTTCTTCTTTTTTTTTTTTTAATGTTTTTTAAATTTATTTCTGAGAGAGATAGTGTGAGCAGGGGAGGGTCAGAGAGAGAGGGAGACACAGAATCTGAAACAGGCTCAAGGCTCTGAGTGGGCTGTCAGCACAGAGCCCGACGCGGGGCTCAAACCCACGAACCATGAGATCATGGCCTGAGCTGAAGTCGGACACTTAACCGACTGAGCCACCCAGGCGCCCTTCTGTGTCGTTTCCTCTTGTAAGGACACCAGTCGTTGGAGTTAGTGCCCAACCTAAATCCAGTAGGATATCGTCCTGAGATCCTTGACTTGTTACATCTGCAAAGACCCTATTTCTGAGGTTCTGAATGGAGATTAATTGCGGGGTGGGGAACGGTGCAGCCTGGTATGGTGGGCCATATCTGCAAAGTCACACTGTAGTTGTAAATGCAGTACAGAAATGAGGTGTGGCTGGAGGAGGTGGGGGATGGGACTGCGCGGGGGCGGGCTCTGATGCCTCCCTCCACGCAGGACTACCTCTTGAAGATCATTGACACGCCTGGGCTGCTGCAGCCAGAACAAGTCAGCGCCCTCTTTGGGAACATAGAAAACATCTATGCACTGAACAGGTATGGAGTGGGCCTGACACGCACTGTGTTCTGCCTGTGAGGCCCGTCTCAGGATGTGACATGTGGGCTGGGGTGCTGATCGCTGACCGTGGGTGGGTAATGGCACTATAATTAGCTCCCTGTAGGAGAGAGGGGGTGTGGGATCACGTGCCCTGCGGCTGATGTGCTTCCTGTCAGGCAGGGGAGACCATCTGGGGCCATGCACATGTTAGGTCCAGCCGGGGCCAGCACACCCCTCAGGGAATGGCTGGACTCTGGCATGTGATGCTCTTCTCTCTGTCCCTCTGTGCCCCCCTTGTCTCTTCCATCTTTCTCCCCTTCTTGCACATCTCTTAACTTCCTCTTCACCTTCCCACTGACCACATGGGAAATTGGGGCTCCCTGGAGCTGGTCGGACCCATCAGGTGAATGAACAGACCAGGCAAAAGGGAAGACTGAGTAGGGCCTGGCGAGAGGCTGCTTCAGGGCAAAGGGGCCCCTTGAGGATCTGGCGTGTGTTGCCTGGGCCCACAGATCCCCCAGGGCAAGCAAGGCAAGGGCACTGGTCGGAGGAGAGTGCCAGAGGGAACAGCATTGATAGGACACGAGGAACTTACCGGCTCTCTGAGATGGGCTGAGGGACTTCAGCCTGTGCAAGCTTCAGAAGGCCCGGAGGGCAGGTGCAGGGGGCCGGGCCGGGTGCTGGTGGGGGTTGGGAAGAGAGATGCATGGGGGGAGGCCACAAGGGAGCATTGTTTGTTAGGGTTTCCCATAGCACCCCATCCAAGGTCAGGTGCACCCTTTTCTGCATCTGTTTGCATGGAGCAGGGTGGGAGGGGCTTTGCTTCCTTTGGGAGTCCCAGCCCTCTTCTTCCTGCCCCTTTAATCTCTGCCTTTGTGTGTTTGACTCCTTCTGCTTGCAGAGGAGCTGTCTCTCCTCCAGAGGTGGGTACCCGTGTCCCCTTTCTCTTGCTTGCTGAGCATGTGGGGCTCCTTTGCTCCCCATCTTTGCGGCAGTGCTGAATACTCTCTGGTTGCTGGCCTGTGTGGGGCTCACTCTGGGTGGGGGAGGGGGGAAGCCCTGACTCTTTGGTGTGACACCAGGGCTGTCTGTGTATCTGGGAGCCAGGAGGTTGGGGAGGGGATTTGTTGGTGGCCGTGGAGGCTGTGAGCTGTTTGGGGTCTGATGACCACTCCCCCCGCCCCCAGCCAGCTACTCCGAGACCTGGATGGCTGCAATAGCGACCCCGTGGCTGTGGCCAGCTGCTTTGTGGAAAGGGTAAGAAGGGCTGAGTCCTTGCCTCTTGTGCCACCTTGCTGGGGACTCAGAGGCTTCTGCCAGGTGCCCTGCCTCAGCTGGGAAGGCATTCTGGGGTGGAGCCAGGGGCTGTAGGTGGAGGGGGCATCCCAGAGAGATGGGTACAAGGTGGATCTGCAGGTGTTCAGGGAAAGGGGGCAGAGTGGACTCGGGGGGTCAGGGCCATGTGTTTGGTACACCCAAGTTTGCCATCTCCCAGAAGTCACCATCTTTGTTCTCTTCTTAGAGCCAGGAGTTTGATATCTACACCCAGTATTGCAACAACTACCCCAAGTGAGTAATTGGGGTGGAGAGGGGGAGTAGAGTTACTTGGTGGGCCTGGAGCACCACATGCCCCCATCTAGGCCTTCCCAGGCAGTGATGGCCGCCTACCCCCCCCCCCCCCCCCAGCTCAGTGGCCACCCTGACCGAGTGCATGCGGGACAAACAACAGGCCAAGTTCTTTCGGGACCGGCAGGAGCTGCTACAGCACTCTCTGCCCCTGGGCTCCTACCTCCTGAAGCCCGTCCAGCGCATCCTCAAGTACCACCTGCTGCTCCAGGTAACCCAAAGGTCTTCCGGAGGATGTCGGTGGGGGGGGAGGGGGGGACTGGGAGAGGGGTGGGGCCTGAGGCTGGGCTGCCTAAGCGCCTGTCTCCCATCTGTCTCCCACACAGGAAATTGCCAAACATTTTGATGAAGAAGAAGACGGCTTTGAGGTGGTGGAGGATGCCATTGACACCATGACCTGCGTGGCCTGGTACATCAATGACATGAAGAGGAGGCATGAGCATGCAGTCCGGCTCCAGGTGCTGCAGGGCTGGTCGCTGGAGGGGCATGCAGGGGTGGTGGGGTGGGGTGCGGTGGTGCTTGGGAGAGGACACACAGCTGCTGCTGGACTGAGCGAGGGCTGGTTTCCCCGTGGGGAGCCCCGGTGGCAGCGTGTGTGTGGCGGGTACAGGTGGTGGCTGTGTCTGCGGGAGTTTCTGAGGCACCCTGGACTCTGGAGCTCCCGGCTTCTCTGCTGCAGGAGATTCAGTCGTTGCTCATCAATTGGAAGGGACCAGACCTGACTGTCTATGGGGAGCTCGTCCTGGAGGGCACGTTCCGCGTGCACCGTGTGCGCAATGAGAGGACCTTCTTCCTCTTTGACAAAGCACTGCTCATCACCAAGAAGCGAGGAGATCACTTTGTTTACAAGAGTCACATCCCGGTAACCAGGGTGCTGTCATGTTCTCTGCCCCATCCCCCCTTCTCCACCTCCCACATTTTAGTGGGCCAGTCTCCACACCTTTTTATTTAAAGATTTTATTTTTGGGGTGCCTGGGTAGCTCAGTCAGTTGAGTGTTAGACTCTTGATTTTGGCCCAGGTCGTGATCCCAGGGTCATGGGATCGAGCCCAGAGTTAGGCTCTGCACTGGGCGTGGAGCCTGCTTGGGATTCTCTCTCCTTCTCCCTCTGTTCTTTCTCTCTCTTAAAATAAAAATAAATTAATTAAAAACGATTTTATTTTGAAGTAATCTCTCCACCCAGTGTGGGGCTCGAACTTAGAACCCTAAGATTAAGAGTCACATGCTCTACTAACTGAGCCAGCCAGGCACCCCCAGGCTGCATTTCTTGACCTCTTCATGGGCTCTGGGTTGGTGTGGATGTAGCTCTGTCTCTCTGAGATTACTCTCCCTGCCTCCCCAGATGGTCTCAAGGGGCTGGGCCCCCAGGTCACTCCACCCCCCAATATCGCTTCTTGTGATTGACTGTACTCTCCCTCTGCCCCAGTGCTCTTCCCTGATGCTGATTGAAAGCACCAGAGACTCCCTGTGCTTCACCGTCACCCACTACAAGCACAGCAAGCAGCAGTACAACATCCAGGTGAGGGCTGGGAGGCCGGGGACCGAGCTGCCCTCTCAGCTCAATTAGCTCTGGGCCTCGGTGTCCCTCTCCGGAAGGCAGGGATCATTGTGGCCATCTCTCAGGCTCATGCTGAGGAGTTACGATAACCTCGCGGAGGCCCAGCACAGGCCATCTTTCTGCCGCTGCCCCCTTGACAGGTGTGGCCTACAGTGGATGGCTTCAGGCGGTGACAGTAACGCCTGGCTCCGTCTTCCTCGGTCCTTCCAGGCCAAGACAGTGGAGGAGAAACGGAGCTGGACGCACCACATCAAGAGGCTCATCCTGGAGAACCACCACACCACTATCCCCCAGAAGGCGAGTTCCTGGGGGGTACCCCACCTCCTCCGATGGGGTGCAGGGAGAGGCAGTCCTCAGCCAGTGCCAGGGGCTCCACTCGACAGTGGGGATCAGACTATGCCATCGGCCTCAGCATCACACTGTGGGTGTCCCAGGGCAGTAAGAGCCGAGCCGGGGACCAAGGGAGGCACGGCACACAAGTGAGGTGGTAACGGGGTATGCTTCCTTTCCTTCCAGGCCAAGGAGGCCATCTTGGAAATGGACTCCTACTGTAAGTGCACCCTCTCTGCCTGCTTTGCCCCTAATTGTGCACATCTCTAGGTCGTGTTGCATCCTGGGGAAGTTCTGCCTGCTGCTTACATTGCAGGGACCAGGGAGGATGGGAAGGGGAAGCTCCTTTTGGCAAAGGCTAGGGGTCTGCTGCAAGGTCAGGGGCACGGTCCTGCTGGCAGGTGCGACTCCCAGTGCCTCACATTCCTGGATGGAAGACGGAAGAGGAGGGAGCTCTGGAGGCTTCTGGCGCCTGGAGCTGGGGTGGGCAGCAGAGGTGTGGTCAGGTGTGGTCAGAGTCTGGGCCAAGGCTGATTGTGAATGTCGTGTGCAGACCCCAGCCGGTACCGCTGCAGCCCAGAGCGCCTGAAGAAGGCTTGGTCCTCCCAGGACGAAGTGTCCACGCATGTGCGTCAGGGGCGCCGGCAGTCTGGTAAGGGAAGGGCTGTGTGGGCAGGACCGGGGGTGGGGGACTGTCTCGGCAGCGGCACTGGGGCTGGCTGTCACGTCTCCGGACATCTTGGGAAGGGGCAGGAGGGAGGGTCGCTGGGCACGTGTGGAGCGCCCCTTCCCAGTGCTCCTGCTTCGGGCCCTTCTTGCACACCAGGAGTGCTTGTTTACTCAGGCCTTTTACCCAGGCTGCCCACGTTTTCCAGTGCCCCCGGAGTGCTTGCTTACTCAGGCCTCTGTGTCCGTCAGCCTTCCTGCGACCGAACCTTTGCTTTTCTGCCGCTCAGAGTCCTGGGGCTTGGCCAGGAGTGATGCTCAGACGTCATGGGTGCTCCCCAGCCTGGTTCTGGAGCAGAGTGGAGCAGAGGCAGGACGAGGGAAAACAAGTTAGACGTCCAGTGGCACCAAATCCAGACAGGAAATATTTACTTTGAGTCTCAGGGAAAAGTTCAGTTTTCCTCTGCTGGGTTTTCTTCCATGACTGGGCTTGCGACTATGTACTTGGATTTATTGGAATGAATCGTCTGTTGAAAAAGAGAAAGCCTTGCTTTCATTCTTAGCTTGGGGGGTGATAAGTGTGTGTGTGTTTTCTACGTCTGTCTGTCAGTTTGTACTCCACTCTTCAGTCCGAGGCCCAGGGACAGATTTAGCTTCAGCTGGTAACTACCAGATGTAGACAAGGCGAGAGTTGGGAGGAGAAATGTCTCAGAAACCCCTGGAGAGAAGATTCGAGAGTACTGGCAGCACTGTCCTGGCTTGGAGCTCCGTGGTGCCCTGGGCTTTGACTGGCTGTGACCACGGGTCCCCTGAACAACTATGTGGATTGACACGTGGGCTTTGGTTTTCTGGAAGATGGGGAGCCAAGCGGTCTCTGGAGAGCTTTTGTGATTTTGTTTGGTTACGTATTCCTCCCAGTGGATCTTAAACCCTAGGCAAATATGCTATGGTTGCAAAAGTTTTAATGATGTCGTATTGTTAAAAGCCCCAAATTGGGGATGTTACTTCATACATTTCTGACCCTTTTTGTTTTCCTTTTTTCTGTAACGTTCTTTCTGCCCTTCTAGCGTTCCCCTTTAACCTGCCATGGCTTTGAACTGGAAGTTTCTGGCACAAGGAGGTAGTGATGGTGGTGGTGGTTCAAACAGCAGTACTGTCTTTTGTAACATCAGCATCCAAACTGTAGCTCTCAAGGCATTCGGGAAATGGGCTGTTTTAGAGCTAAATTTCCACATGACCAAGACTTTTGCCCGTGAACACTGCAGAGTTGCATTCTGTTTACTTGTTTTCATACTTTCGTTTTAACCATTATGAAGCAAACATCTTTCTTTTAAAAAAAAATTTTTTTAATGTTTATTTTTGAGAGAGAGAGACAGAGACAGGGTGCAAGCAGGGGAGGGTCAGAGCAAGAGAGGGAGACACAGAATCTGAAGCAGGCTCCAGGCCCTGAGCTGTCAGCACACAGCCCGACGTGGGGCACAAACAGTGGGATTGTGACAGGAGCCGAAGTCATACACTTAAGTGACTGAGCCACTCAGGCGCCCTGACACAAACCTCTTTCTAAAACATGCTTCCTGCTCTTGAGCCTTTTAGGGTAGAGGATGCTGACCACAGTTGAACTTTTCTGGAGTCGGAGGGACAGCATCGCTGCGGTGTGTGAACCTCTAGGGCAGTGGCATTTGCCGTGTGTCCGTCCTGACCCCGGAGCGTTGGTTCTAGTCTGTTGCAGTGTGCTCGCCTATACCGGCTCTTCTCCCCCGCTTGTGTTGTTTGAAATCGGTTGACTGCACTTGTAAGTGGTGTGGGTAAAAACAGGCCGGCAAGGGGCTCCTGGCCATCTCAGTCAGTGGAGCATGTGACCCTCGATCTCGGGAGTTTGAGCCCCATGTTGGGTGTAGAGAGTACTTTACTTTTTTTTTATTAAAACAAAAATTTTTTTGAGTTTATTTATTTTGAGGGGGAGAGAGAAAGCATGCGTGACAGAGGCAGAGAGAGAGAGAGAGAGAGGACTCGAACTCCTAAACTATGAGATCATGACCTGAGCCGAAATCAAGAGTCGGTTGCTAAACCGACTGAGCCATCCAGGCACGATGGGTGTAGAGGTTACTTTAAAAAAAGTGTTAAAAAAGGGGGCACCTGGTTGGCTCAGTTGGTTAAGCGTCGGACTTCAGCTCAGGTCGTGATCTCAAGGTTCGTGGGTTCGAGCCCTGCATTGGGCTCTGTGCTGACAGCTCAGAGCCAGGAGCCTTTCTTCAGATTCTGTGTCTCCTTCTCTGTCTGCCCCTCCCTGCCTCAAGCTCTGTCTCAAAAATAAATAAACATTATAAAAAAAAGAATCATTAAAAAATGTGTTTAAAAAAAAGGGCCAGGAAGTTGCTGAGAGGGAGACATGGGCCCTGTGTGAGCACTGCAGCGAAGCTTGGAGCCACCTGCTCTGTCTGCCTCCGGGTGGCCTCCTCCCAGGTTGCTGAGCCGGGCAGGGAAGCACTCTGTGTACGGAAGGTGCTGCTGTCACTGCTCATCACCTCTGACATCTTCTCGATTACAAGCTTTAAGATGAGAGAATAGGGCATTCTACATTTCTCACTTAAAATACAATTGAATACACACACACACACACACCCCCACCCAGGGGAGAAAACGTCTTCAGCATGCTCCCCCATGCTCAGGAACAGCCGGAAGGCCTCGGTAGACTTTCCTCCTGCCTCCCAAGTTTATAGTGGGCTTCCCAGTTAACACCAGTAGGGCAAGAACAGGATGGGTTAAGGTGAAGTCTCTGTGCAGATGTCCCTCGACACATATCTTCTTCTCCCTGCCTGCCCGTCTCAGGTCTGTTCCCAGAAGGGCTGGGGTCCAGGGTGCTGACACCATCGGCCTAATGGGTGTGTCTCGTATCTTGTTCCCAGAGCCTGGGCAGCCCCTGTTCGGCCGGGCAACACTCCCCAGCAGGCAGCGAGGCTTCATGGAGCCAGGCCTTAAGGGCCGTAGGAAGTCGGGTGCGACCTCTGCTTTCCAGCCAGGGGTGCTGCGAGGGGCTTGGCCTCGGGTGTAGCTAAGGCGCTGAGGTGCTTCTCGCAGGGAGGGTGGGGCTTGAGGTAGAGCCAAGGATCTCCAGAGATGCGGCTGGTTGGTCTGAAGGAGGTGGCATGGGGCCACGGCCCCGGAACTGAAGGCCCTGGGCCGGGTGCACTCACGCAGCAGTTGTGGGCAGAGCTGCTCCTGGGGGCTGGCAGTGATAGCGGAGGTCCCCGGGGTGCTGGCCGGGGGTGGCCTGGGCCCTGCCTCGCCGCATGGCAGGTACGGAGCCCTAGGGCTGGGGGCGGCCGAGCTGGAGGGGCCTCCGAGCTGGTGGTGGCAGCGGCGCTGTGAGCAGGGGACCGGGCCTGGCACGGCTCCTTCCAGGCCTGCACTGACTCTCTGCTTTCCTTCTCAGAGCCCACCAGACACCAGCTTAGGCAACTCAGTGAGAAAGGTGAGTGCGGCACGGCCAGGCCTTCCTGTCAAGCTCTAGCATAGGGGCAGGGAGGTGACACAGGTAGCCTTCTGGGTGGGGGTGTTGAGGACAGTTTAGAGGGGACACTGCCTCTCTTCCTCCCTGGAGGTGGGCCTCCTCCCTTGCTGTCTGGGAGGGGGCTTGAGTTTTCCCTCCCCACACGCCCCTTGCACGCTATCCTCGGGGAACAGCAGGAGTGAGAGACACGCATAGACCTGTGCTGCTCTGCCTCTCCCAGGGCCTCTGCTCTGTCAGTCATTCCTTTGAAAGCCCAGGAGAGGCCGGGTGAGGGTTCTGGGAGTGGGAGCCCTGCCCCGGGGGGCTCCTGGCTTCTGTAAAGAGGCACTCTTGCTTACTGATCTCTTCTCCCGTCACCCTTGCGTGTGTGCTGGAACCCTGTGGTGGCAGCAGGCAGAACAGCGGGAATGAAGGTAAGGCCATTTGGGCAGACAGGACGGGCCTGATGGAGGGGGGTGGGGCTGCCAGGTCAGCGCCCCCACCTCTTCAGCTCACACTGTCTTCGCGCAGTCCACAAATCCCTAGCAGGCACCTACTGTGTGCTGGCCTCTGTCTTAAGAGTCACAGAGATGAATAAGCCTTGGCCCTTGCCCTGGGGGCCCTTCTGTACCCTTTCCCTGGAACGGTACCCTGGTGGCCGTCCGGCCTGGGCCTTCTCTGTTTTCTCTCTCTGGGTCTTGAGTTCCTGACCAGGCTCCAGCCCCAGCTCTCCCAGGTTCCGGCTTCCCACCCTGAGGACCCCCACCCCCATCCTCACTGGGCCCTGGTGGGGACCAGGGGTTGGGTGTGGAGGTGTGGCTTTCTCTGGGTAAGGCCTCCCCACCCTCAGCCGCTGGCCGGAGGAGGGGGCTCGCCCGGAGCCTGGTCACGAGGGGGTCTTGTGCTCTGAACAGCATGCAGGCAGTGCCGGCGTTCTCCTGGACTTTGGGCGGCCTCCTCGTGCTCAGGGCGTGCAGCCAGAGGCTGAAGGGGCTGCCCGGGCGGAGCAGGAGGAGGAAGAGGAGGAGGAGGAGGTGGAGGAGGAGGAGGAGGAGGAGGAGGAGGAGGAGGAGGAGCAGGAGCAGGCCTTTCAGGTGTCTCTGGAAGACTTGGCAGGGCATGAAGGCAGCGAGAAGGGGGCCGGGCTGGAGCCCCAAGGCTCGGAGGAGGAGGAGGAGGAGGAGGAGGAGGAGGAGAGCCTGGCAGTGGCGGAGCAGGTAGCCGACTTTGCCAGCTCCCTGCTGGCCGCCCTCCACTGCTGGCACTATCGGGCCAACGCTTTACTTTTCTCCCGGGGCGCTATGGTGAGGTGTCTCTTTGATCTCCCCTCCTCCTTGCATGTTCCCTGGCGAGCGCATGCCCATCTGGGGGTTCGCTCCCCTGCCCTCCCGCCCCTCCGTCCTGTTCCCTCACTCCTGCCATCAGCACTAACTCCTTGCCCGCTGTCACGCCCTGGTGAGCCCCTGGCATGTGCTGTTCCAGTACCGGGCGTGAACTAGCATACTACCCAGTGAGCATGACTAATGGGGTGGGGGTGGTGGGGAGGGGGAGAAGGCAGCGCACAGCGGGGCTGGAGGGGCCCAGCGGGGTGGACTTGCCTGAGGCCACACACCTGGCAGGGCTTGCTGTGTCCCCAGACCTGGCAGTTCAGGTGGACTGCAGAACGGCTCAGGTCCCAGGCTGGCCCTCAGGACAGCCCAGCCCCCTTGGGGCTCAGAAGCTTCTGCCCATGTTGGGCTGCAGAAGAGACGAGCTCCCAGTTGTCCCAGGAGCTGACGGTGGCCCTCTGCTTCCTGCAGGAGAAGGGGCGTAGGGAGTCCGAAGGCCCCAAGAGCCGTAGAAGGCCCAGCAGCCGGTCTCCGACTAGTGCTGAGAAGCGCATGAGCTTTGAGTCCACCTCTTCGCTGCCAGAGGTGAGTGGCCAGCGGAAGGGGAACAGTGCAGGAGTGCCTGGCGCGTCGGGGCTGCACGTGGGGCTTCCAGGCACGGGCTCTCCTGCTGGTCCCATGGGGACACAGTCCCTCCTCCTCCTCCTCCCTCAGGGACTCTTCAGCCCTTCAGCAAGCTTGTCTGGCCAGTGAGTGTGTGGTGGTGTGAGTGGGCAGATGCAGATGCTTGTCGAGGGCCCTATTAGTGGAAGTGACCAGATGTTGGGTCCCTTCAGCCAGGCCTCCTTGTATAGGGCGTAAGGCCCTGCCCCCGCCAGCATGCCAGACATTTAAGTCACACCTGTGACATCCACCGGGCACTTCCTACATGTCCAGTGTTTCCTTTCTTCCTTCTGTTCCCTGCCAACAGCCCAGGTAGAAAGAGGCTCAGAGAAGTTGTGTGACGTGCCTGACATTGGGCAGCTTCTGAGGGGCAGAGCTGGGATCAGAGTCTGTGACTCAGAAGCCCACCTTCCCCCGTGCTGTTGTCGGTTTTGTGGAACCGATACCTTTGTTTTCCTGAAGTGATAAGAATATGTTTCTGAGGCCTGGACCCCCCCGGGCAGGCCTCCCAGCCCGGAACTAGGTTCCTTCTCAGGAACCTGGTTGACGCTGGATGCGAGTCCAGTCGACCGACGAAGCAAGCCGTAGGCATGGCTTTACGTTTTCTAGCGGCCACGTTAACAGATTATTTAATTATTTAATGCCAACTATTGTTTCAACCTGTTATCAATAGAAAAACCCATTCATGACATTTTATACCTCGCACGAAGTTTTTGCAGTTGGTGTGTATTTTGCCCTTATGGCTGTTCTCAGTTTGGACTCGTCACGTTTCAGGTGCTTGGAAGCCACCGGCAGCCGGCAGCTGCCATGCTGGGTGATGCAGGCCGAAACCATGGGCTCTGCTTTGCAGACTCCCGCCTAGAACCATTGGAATTGGCTGTGATTCCTTAGAATGTAGCACGTTTGCTCTTCTTCCTAAAGGTCCCTCTGGAAGGCTGCCTGTACTGGCTGGTTTCATGGTTCAGATGACCTTCAAGGTGGTCAGGAGGAAGTTCTTGAATTTACTTCCTTCCTTGCCTGTCTGCAAGGCATCTGCAGACTTGTACATAGGGCCAGACGCTGGCTGGTAGGGGCCAAATGCCTGTCTACACCCTCTGACAGGACTCTAGCATGTGGTCCTATTGCCCCGTGGACCCTCATCTACACATGAGGTCCTGGCCCCTCAGGGAAGGTGGGTTTGAACCCAGAACAAGCCCCATGTGGCCTGTAGGGCTTTAGGGAGCTGCCTCTCCATCTGGCATATGCTGTGTTGTATGCTCCCACCTTGTCCCTCTAGCTCCCAGGCAGGCTGCCACTGAGAGGTGCCAACACTACCCAATATGTGTTCTTAGAATTTTCCTTGGGTTTTATGACCCAAGCCCCGACGCTGCATGATGACTGGGGGACATCATCACCTTCCTCTCCCTAAGGACCTATGTCCTCACTCTTGAGTTGTGCTCATTCTCATTGCCTTTGGTCCTAAACTGCATGCCCTCTTGCTGAGCTGAGGCAAGTCATGCTGTCCCCTTATCCTTTGGATCTTATGAGGGCGGGTTTTGGCTCACATAAGCTCTGTTATCCCAGGTTGAGCCGGATCCTGAGCCTGAGACAGACCAGGAAGTATTTGCTGCTGTGGAAGTTCCCAGCATCGAGGAGGTGCCCTCAGACACGGAGTCTCCAGAGGTCCTGGAAACACAGCTTGATGCCCACCAGGAGCTGCTGGGGCTGGACCCCCCGGGGGACATGGTGGACTTTGCGGTGGCCGAGAGCACCGAGGACCTTAAGGCTCTGAGCAGTGAGGAGGAGGAGGACATGGGTGCCACACAGGAGCCCGAGAGCCTCCTGCCGCCATCCGTGCTGGACCAGGCCAGCGTCATTGCTGAGCGGTTCGTCAGCACCTTCTCTCGGCGGAGCAGCCTGGCGCTGGAGGACGGCAAGGCCAGCGGCTTCGGGAGCCCGAGGCTGACAAGCCGGAGCAGCAGTGTGCTCAGCCTAGACGGCAGTGAGAAGGGCTCAGCCCGGCATGGCAGCACCACCGACGTGCTTGGCTCGCAGCTGCCCCCAGATGTGGACAGCACTGTGGGGGCGGCCATGGAGAACGGCCCTTCGGTCAACGGGACGGAGCCCCCAAGCCCAGGCTGCCCGGCAGAACCCGACAGGTCTTCCTGTAAGAAGAAGGAGTCGGCACTCTCCACCCGAGACCGGCTGTTGCTGGACAAGATCAAGAGCTACTACGAGAACGCAGAGCACCATGATGCGGGCTTCAGCATCCGGCGCCGAGAGAGCCTCTCCTACATCCCCAAGGGGCTGGTAAGAAACTCCGTTTCCAGGTTCAACAGCCTCCCCAGGCCGGACCCGGAGCCGCTGGCTCCACTGGGGCACAAGAGGCAGGTGGGCTCCCGGCCGGCCTCGTGGGCCATGTTCGACCTCCCAGGCCCCGACCCGGCCAGTGCTGGGGAGCCAGCTCCTATCACGGACACTGAGTTCCGGCCGTCTTCAGACATTGTGAAGATCTGGGAGGGAATGGAGTCTGCCGGGGAGAGCTCTCAGAAGGGGCCCAGCCAAGGCCAGGCCAATGGTTTTGACCTGCATGAACCGCTCTTTATCCTGGAGGAGCACGAGCTGGGGGCCATCACCGAGGAGTCGGCCACTGCCTCCCCCGAGAGCGCCTCCCCCACAGAGCGGCCCAGCCCGGCCCACCTGGCCCGGGAGCTGAAGGAGCTCGTGAAGGAGCTGAGCGGCGACGTCCAGGGGGAGCTGGTGGCTCCACTGCACCCCCGCATCGTCCAGCTCTCCCACGTGATGGATGGCCACGTGAGCGAGCGAGTCAAGAACAAGGTGTACCAGCTGGCCCGCCAGTACAGCCTGAGGATCAAGAGCAAATCTGTGCCGGCCAGGCCATCGCTACCGTGGGGAAAGTCGGCTCCCCCCATTCCCTGCCTGCAGGAGGAGGCTGGAGCACCCTCGGGCGGCAGAGGTACAGTGAGCGGGGTGGGCCCTTCCTGTAAGTCTGGGGTGGAAGAGCCTTTTAGGAGCAGGTGGGCTCCTGGAGGAAGGTGACCCTGTAGAACCATGACCAAAGGGAGGGCTGGACTCTACACACAGGGGGCGAGTGGTCCTGCTTGAACACCCTCACTGCCTTCTCCCGGCCCTTCCTGTGGTGCAGAGACCTTAGGAGGAAATGTGGCCATGGGCCTACTCTCCCAGGGGAGTAGAAGCTCTGGTCTTTTCTGACTCCTGACCCCATGTCCGCCACCTTTTCCTCAGTCTTCCCATCGCCCTCTGATAAAGGGGCCGTGGATGGTGCATGTGACTTCGCTCCCATCACAACCTAAACCCCAGGCAGCAGCCTTGGCTGGAGCGGGAGCAGAAGGCAGTTCTGAGCCCTTGCTTGCCCTCTGCCATCCTGCCCAGTGATTCAGTCAGCTCACTCTCTCCCCACAGGTAAGAGAAAGCCGGAGCTGTCCCTCCTCAACAGTGAGCAGCCGGTGGACCCGGAGCACAGCCCGCCCAAGCCCTGCTCTCCTCGGCATTTCTCCTTCAGCCCCACTGCTTCTAGCCCGAGGACCACATCGCCTGGGGTCCGGCCCTCCTCTCGAAGCCCCCTTAGCCCCCTCGACGCTGAGACGTTCAACTGGCCTGATGTCCGAGAGCTCTGCTCCAAGTACACCTCCCACGATGAGGCATTCCAGGCCGAGGGCAGCCGGCCCCGTGGCCAGCCTGTCAACCGGAGCCGCTCGGTGCCAGAGAACATGGTGGAGCCCCCTCTGGCCGCCAGGGTGGGCCGCTGCTGTAGCGTGGGTGCCAAGAGGGGCCGGGCAGACCCAGAGGTCACCCAGCCCCAGCCCCCTGGGGGGTTGCCCCAAAGCAGGCCGGTCGGAGAGGAGGCCCTATATGTCTCTGCAGACCTTACCCTGGAGAACAACCGGCGGGTGATCGTCATGGAGAAGGGGCCCCTGCCCTGCCCCGCTGCGGGGCTGGAGGAGGGCAGCGGGCAGGGACCAAGCTCGCCAGCAGCCGCGGTGGGACGGGACCTGGATTTCCTGGAGTCTGGGATTTCCAGGAGTCCAGAGTGTTGGCCAAAAGAAGAGGGTCCCAGGGACCCAGTGGACCCAGGCCAGCAGGGCAGAGTGAGAAACCTGAGGGAGAAATTCCAGGCCTTGAACTCCACAGGGTGACACTGAGTCCAAGGAGAGGGAGGAGCTGTGCGGCGCGGCAGGGATGGGGAGGGACCTCTGCAGGCTTGCCTTCAGGCCTGGGCTCACGCTACTCACGAGGGCCCGTGGAAGAATGCTCTGGTCTTCACCTGCTGGGAATGCGCTGGCTCTCCCCTGGGCTCAGGGCAACTCTCCCCGGGGCCCAGGTGAGCCCCATTCCGACCAAGGCCAGTACAACTACTTCCCTTGTATATAGTTCTTCTCTGGTGAGAAGCTGCATATTTAAGCTCTCCTCTTCCCAGGGAGAGCAAGCCGAGCTCAGGCCTCCGGGTAGGGCTGACCACTGCCAGGCTGAGGAGCCTACCCAGAGGAGACGTGGGAAGGTGGCCTGGGGAGGCTTTGCTCTTTAATTGTGTCTTGTCTTAGGATCCAGGCAGGAGCAAGGCCCATAATTTATTGCTTTCCATTCCATGGTGTATTTGTGTGCACACGTGTTCATGTTCTTTCGTTGTTGATTCCTCTGCGGTGAAGAATGTAACGCGCTCACTTCAGGTACTTTTGCAGGTTGTCTCGCTGATCCTGTGGTTGTCACTAATGTATATATGTTTCATTATTTGCCGATGGTGCAATAACCACTGCTGACCAACCGGCCTGTGTGTGGCTCCTTACTGGGCCTGGCTGGGGTGGGGACAGTTGATCGAGGCCAGGGACGTCTTAAGGAGGCGGGCTGCGGGGGCTGTTGCTCTCAGTCCCTCATTCGTCATCTGTGCTCACAAAGCATAAGGCCCCAGGGTGATCGCCGGGAAGCCTGGGACAGCAGGGTGTGCGGGAGGGAACTCGTGTTCTGTCTACCCCAGGCTGGTGTTCTGTTGGTGGCAGGGTGGGGGGAGGGGGGCGTGGAGAGACCCTGGCAGCTTTTAGCTTTCTCAAGGACCGAAGTTGGACTAAAAATGGTGGGGGAGATGAATGGAATGTTTTTCCAACGGATGTAAGTTTCCAGTGTCTGGTACCCTTCTCTCTTCCTCTCTAGCTAGTTCCCAGGAGGCATCCTAGGAGGCAAGGATTTTAAACTTGGGTCTGATCTGTCTTGAGGTGGCTTGCGGTGCTGTGGAAAGAGAGCACATGCCTTTTATCTGGGATGGAACCTCAGTTTTCATCCTGTTCTCAAAGGGTCTTTTCTGGAGAGGGCAAGGAATGTCTGCCTGTTTCTAACTGGGCTTTCTGCCCTCACTGGGGAGCACCAGCCTTGTTCGGCCCTGTTCCTGCAGGTGGTGCTCCCTAGGTCTGCTGGGTGAGAGCTTCTGACCTTGGAGGACAGACTCAGCCTGGAGGCAGGTGTGCAGAGTCTACAGGGGCCAGGGGAGGCCTCTCCTAGGCAGGAGCAGACAGGGCTAGATCGTGTCCTACCTGTTGTCCTCAATGTTCTGTGGTTTCCACGGTTGCTGAGGATAGAGTTGGCTCCTCCCAGCCATGTGTTGGGGTATGATGCTCAGTAGCCACAAATGTACGGGAGTGAGAGTCCGGGCACCCAGGTTCTGGTCCCATCCTCTGCCATTAACTAGCCAGGTCACCTGAACTTTTTCCTTACCTACAAATTGAAGGAAATGGATGATGTACTGCTTCTCAGACTCCCTCAGACTTTTCAGGGGGCAGGGCCTGGGCAGTGGTAGTGAACACCTTCCCCGCGTGCTGCTTAGCCATCCAGGTATGACAGGGAGCCTTGAACCAGCTCACTGGTTCTCGCTACCAATGAGAATGGTCAGTGGAGCCTTTTGAAAAACGGCGATGCCTGTTTCAGCCACCCAGACCAAATGAAACCGCCCCTCTGGAGATGAATCTCGGGCCAAGTGAGGGCCAAGATCTCTGGCCGGAGCCCTGTGGGGGAAGGGCTTGCTGAGTGCGTGAATGAGTGAGCGTCTCTCGATAAGTCTCAGGCAAGGAGGCACAGCTCCTGGGTGCCGGCATAGGACTCCCCAGGGACAATCCAGAGACTGGGGCTGTCCCTTTGTCTCCATGGTGGTGCCCCCTTGCTCAACCACCCCTCCTTGGTCCAGTTCAAAGGGAAAGAAAACTAGTCAAATAGATGAGAGAAATATGGAGCATTATTGATTTATTAGAAAAACTAGTAAATGGGTTTTCTCTGGTTGGTGGAAGCACATTTGAGCAGGTGGAGGACAAGGCCCCTCTGGCCCCAGGGCCACCCCCAGATCACGTGGTCTGTACCCAACAGGGTTGCAGTCATGTGTAGCTGCCTCCTCCCTTGTGTCCTCCCTGAGCTTGCTTGTCCAAAGGACCAAGTCATATGGTCCTGGGTCCCTGTCCCCTCCTACGAAAAGGAGGGGAGAGAGATCTAGGACCAACCTCGGGGACCCTGGTTGCCCTCCAATAGGCAGGAAAGAGAAATGGTATGAGGGAGATGCTAGGCCTTCCACAAGCTTCCTGTTACTGGTGCTCATTGTGGGGGCCAGGAGGAGGCCTGAGGACCCTCCATACCCCCCTCAGCCAATCAGTTGAGGCCAGGGGATGAAGGGGAAAGGGAGAGGGAAGGAGGACTGCCTGACCATGCCCAGAAGGAGCTTCCTCTAAGCTGCCCTGGGGAAGAAGCCTGTTATGCTGGTGTGGACAGGAGCTGTGTCAACCTAGTTTGGGAATACTGTTAAAAGACTGCGAAGTAGAAAACATAAGGAGGAGAAAAAGAAACCTCGCCAGGACACTAGGAGCTTAGCCCCATGTGGCACAGTTGCCCAAAGCTGGGCTCCTGTCAGTTCAGTCCTGTTGGCTGAGTGCCTTGGGGCCTGCATGATGTGACAGGGATGCGTGGGGAGGTGACAGTAGAGAGCGGGCCACATGCAGCTGGCTGCCCATCTGGGGGACCTGGACCTACCTCTTCCTTTGGGGTCCTTTCATTCTTTGGATTATGGAGCTACTGGCTGGAAATTTCGCACTTCAGTTGCAACTTTGGCACACATGGAGGGGACGGGGTGGTCCTTGGTCTCCCTAAAGATTGGCCCAGGGAACGAGTTGAGGAAGATTTTTGACACTACCTGCTCTTCAGTAAGGAACATGCTCTCTGCCTGTAGCAGGACGTGCCCTCAGATGCACTAGAGGCCTTCTTCATTGCCAGGTGAGAATAGTCACCTCACTGCCGCCTGCCTTGGTTTCCCCAGCTGGAGAAAGAAGCTGGTGAGTGCTCTATACTAGCTTCCCTGTAGATGCAAAAAGGGATGTGGGATTAGATGCAGAGAGGCCAGGTGAGGACCCTGGCTACAACGGTGGGACCCCCTGATCTGGGGGTGCTGGGCTCCACTGGAGAACTTCCCTCACGTTCTTGTCTGAAGTTAGCTTCCCCGGGGCGGGGTGGCATTGATCTCTAAGCTGGGCCTGCACTAGGGGCTCCTGGGAAAGCCTAGTAGCTGCATGCCTACCCTTGTAGTTGCTACATGGGCCTCACCCATGTGCAGAGGAATCATCTGGGTGTGTCTAAGGCTCCTCATGGGGAAGGGCCCCAGGAACTTTTATGGTCTCTTCAGGGGTGACACCTGCTGCCCCCCAGTGTGACTCCTCTTTTGGACCTAACCCCAGTTAGGATGCCGGGCTGGCACTGTATTGCTTTCAGGGTGCTGGAGGAGGTCCTTGTTGGAACGAGTGCCCTCTTCCCTCCAGAAGTTCGACCTTAACAGCATGGGGAAGGCTATTCCTGGGGAAATAAGTTGTTGCAGGGCTCCTTTTGGCTGTGTTTTGGGGCGATGAGGGGGGGTGTTAGGTGCAGAGGTCACCAAACATCCATGCGACTTCCCCAAGACCCCGGGAGAAGCTGAGCACAAGGGGTGCCATAGCTTCATGGGCCGGACCCCAGCATTTGTCCCAGCTGTGCAGGAGTTGTAACATGGGTGGTAATACCCAGGTGTGGTTCCTTGTGCCTCCCCAGAGTGATAGGTCATGAACTTTGCTGTCTGGCCGGTACCCTCAGATGGTACCAGCTGCAGACAGGAGCCACTGGGCATGTGGCTTGGGGCTGCTTTATTGCAGGTGCCGGGGCATCCCTCTTGTATCTAGGGATTTGTCCTGTCTCCCTAAGGGGCCCTGGGTCTGAATCAGACTGTGCTGGCTTGGCGGGGAGTGGGGGAGTGCCCAGGGCTGTCTGCCTCCCTCACCTCTGAGCCTTACGCTGCTCTGTTGTTTTGAGAGGACCAGCTTGAGAGCTTTTACCACCTATGGTGGTATCAGAGGGTGCCGGAGGCAGCCTGAGGCCTTGCATTTAAGACCAACCAACGTTGGATGGTGTCCCCTCACCGTTTTGGGTTTTTTTGTTTTGTTTTGTGAGAAAAAGAGCAGGTGGCCCCTGAGGTGAGAGTCCCAGTTCTGAGGAAGCCCGGTGGGGAGGAGGCCTGTTGTGTCCCCTGGGTCCCCAGAGGCCCCTTGCTAAAACCCTGTGCGTATACGTGAAGCTCCTTCCTCATGCCCCTAAGGGGCAGGTCAGGCATTTCCAGTGCCCTCTTCCCTTTCCCTGGCTGTGACCAAATGGGAGGTGGCCCCAAGCAAACAAACCTACTTTGGGAGTGAGCAGCTTCTGAGGAACCTCGACTCTCTTTGCCAACTTTTATGGGGCTTGGGGGCTAGAGAGCCCTCAGCCCGGAGGAGGGGGGTGGGAGAGGAAGGCCTGGGCCTGGGAAGCCGTTTCCTGCCGCAGGGGTCCCTGGCCCTCCGCGGGGACTGTGACTGCACGAAGGCGGAGGCAGGCGTCAGCCAGCGGGTGGAGGCAGGGATCCCGGCACAGTAGGCCCCGGCCTTGCAGCAGGCAGGCGCAGGCAGCAGGGGGCCCGAGGGCAGGGCCGCGGCCGCAGGCGCCCCGCCAGTCCCTGCACAGCTCGGTCCTGCCGGCGGGGCGCCAGGGAGGCTACTTCTTTTTGGGGAAGAAGCTGAATCTCTTCTCCTTGTCTTTCTTGCCCAGGCTGGCGTCGGGGCCGGTGATGGAGGGCAGGGGCAAGCTCTGGGCCTTGACACGGATGCTCTGGGATTCGTTGATCGCGGTGCTCACACCCTGCAGCCAGGACAGCATCTCCTCCTGTGGGGTGGAAGGGTCATGGGCCGCAGCACGGGGTGCCCCTGCGACGTCTCAGGGAGCCGCCTGGGCTGCTCTGCACTTACCTCATCCTTGCCATGGAAGAGCCACTCGCTGCCGTTGCTGAGCCTAGGACAGAAAAGGGTGTCCTGCCATGGGGCCACTTCTGCCTAGACAGAGGGCTGGCTCATCCCATGGACCCCTGAACCTCCCTCTGACCAGAACCCTAAGAGGCAGCGCCGCACCTCCAGAGAGAGGTAAAAATCTGGACCATCAGCCTCTTGGCTTTGAACAATGCTAGGCCTGGAGCTGGTCTCCTCCAGGGGCCCCTGTCCAGCCACTGATGCCAAACTGAGCCTCCAGGGAATGGGCACCGGCCTGGAGGGGCCTCACCTCAGCTTGAATACGTGCTTCTTCTTCTTATAGTTGGCAGCAACCTCACAGATGGCATGTCTCAGGGCCAGGGGTTCCTCCCCATGGTAGGGCACCCCCAGGGCCAGGTTCTTGGCATCCTTGTAGAAGGTCAGCTCGCTGTTCCGGAGAACACAGTACAGGTTGTTCCAGGATCTGCAAAAACACAGGCAGGTG